AATGTGTGGTTTTGAATTGTAATAAACAGATTAAAGCAGTGTTTCCTATTTGAACTGCTCCTTATTGTTCAGACTGGAGTAAATGTCTCACTCTTTCAAGGTATCCCACAAAGAGACCCATACTTCTGTCCCCTGAGCTTCGAGAACAAGCTTGGCAGCCACTGGTGCAGGGGAGAAAGGCTGTGTACAGATTTAAAGTGGGGAACCCGGTCACAGTGATCAGAGCCTCCCTTAGGAGGCGAGCTCTTGATTTGTAAGACCTACAGCAGAATGGTTCTGGGACCTGAGCATGGATGCAAGGTCTACTCTCACTCAATGAAGAAAAACCACCCAGTAAAGTAACTCAGTGTAGGCAACCTGTGAGTACTGGTGAGGCAAGAGTACCCAACAATCAGATGATGCTCGAAAATCCAGTTCCCCCCAATCCCCACTTCGTCAGAGGATGAGAGTCAATCTGCTTGAGACAACCTAGCAGCCCATCGGTACGAGGGAACCCAGAGAAAACCCCAAAGGCCCATTCCTGATCGCCAGGTTAGTCTGGCTTTCTTCTCCCAGATCAGGTGCCTGGAATAACTAACCTCCAGTAATGTCTCACTCATGAGAAAAGCCTGATACCCAGCTTGGTGATGGACGGACAAAGTGGACTGCCATCTTCACCTCCCACCTTGTTCATTATCAGCATTCAACCCAGATTTCCAGATTCGTGATCTCTAGTTCTTCCCATCAGGACATCTTTTTTTTTTTTTTTTTTTTTGGATTATATTTTTAAGTAATCTGTACCCCAGTGTGGGGCTCGAACTTACAACACCAAGATCAAGAGTCACGTGCCCCACTGACTGAGCCAGCCAGGTGCCCCTCCCCATTAGGACGTCTGATACCATTTCGTTTATTTATTCAGCACATGAACGAAACACTAATAACTATATGGGGGGCCCTCTAGTGGGCGCCGGAGAGCCAGAGGGGACTTAGGATTTCAGAGCTTTTGTCTTTTGGGGGTCCAGGATTCCTTCCTATAATTGTTTACAAAGTTTCTGTGCATGTGTAAATGTGCGTTTTTCTTGAGAGGGGTTCCTTAGTGTGGATGAAACCTGTTACCCTATAACAGTTAAGGACTTTACGTCGTGCACCTGTTGTCCTGGTCAGCATCCTCATCCTGCCCATTGAGTCCAACCACAGGGGCTGACGGAGTGAGAACAAGTAAGGCATCTCTGCCCAGAACTCTAGTATTTTCTGTAGAACCTCAAGAAGCTGTGCCCATCCGCCTACACCCAGGCCCCACATCTGTGACTTGTCCCTCGAGCAAGGATGTCCTCCTGCAGGTCCTGGCCCAGCAGCTGGGGCCTGGCCCTCAGTAAGCCCTGGAGAGGCCGCAGTGGCACGTGGACAGAAGCCGGGCCTCTTCCTGGCATTTAAACACCTTTTTATTCAGCCCTTCTGGTCGCTTCAGACCTTTGTGCTCCTGCTGGGGGCGGGGGAGGGGGCCAGGTTCAAGAATTGTCTATTTGTTCTCTTGAGAGTCCTGCCCTACCTGCTGCCCTGAGGGACCTTGGGGCCTCCGTGTAGCTGTCTGGGGATCACTTTGGCTGTGTGGTTACCCCACTTTGTTCCGGGAACACCTGGTGTCCCCTCTGCTGGTCCTGTGGAGGTGGTTTTGCCTGAGGCTAGCCTGGTGAAGGCCTCCTGTGAGAACCTGGGTATTAGTTGAGCATGCCATGTGATACAAAATTCAGAATGTCATCACTCCTCATTGGTGGGATAGGAGCAGATGTCAAGACAAAATCGTAGTCAGACATGGGGCTCTGGGGCTGCCGACCCCGCAAGATAAACGCTTTTCTCTTTGCCTGTTGTGTATTTCAGTATGCATGAGCGTGTGAGTCGCACTTGCTTCGGATGATGTGCTGAGTTCCCTTCTTTCTTCTCCTGCAGAGAGAAGACACGGTTCAATGTGTAGACCTTCTCCCTCCCCAGCAACTCCACCCTCCAATTCCAGGACATCGTTAGCACAGGTGAAAACAAAAGCCTGTCTCAGCGGCCAGAACTCTGTCAGCAGCACCTCAAAGCCATTCAAAACGCCCAAAGACAATCTACTTACCTCTAGCAGCAAACAGCACACGGTCTTTTCTGCAAAAGGATCGAGGGACAAACCATGGTGAGTGTCGGGCGCCCCCCTGCTCGCCCCCGTCACCACAGGAACCGGAGTTTACCCTCTGGCTTTGTTCCTGGGCGAGAGTCCAGGAATTTGGGGAATGAGGAGGGAAGGGACAGAAAACCAGCACAGTGGGACTGGGACATGGGACTAGGACAAGAAACCTAAACCCCTAGAGGGCACACGGGGCCTTAAAGCACCACGTGCCTGACAGGGGAAGCCTTTCGTTCCTGAGAGCTGAGCCAAGTCGTGTCAAGGAACAGGGTGCCAGGGAAATATTCCTCAGTTATGTGGTCATCTCTCAATTTTCTGCCGCAGTGAAGAGAAGCACTGATGTAAATAATCAAAAGCACGGACAGTTTGCCCCGAGGGGAGTGAGGCCTTGGGAGGCAGGGCCCCAACGAGCCTCCCTGCCTCCCTGCCGAGCCCCCCTGCCTCCCTGCCGGTGGGGCAGCCAGGCCTCTGTGCTGGAAGAGCCGCCCACAGAGGCAGGTAATTGGGAGGAAAAGAGGAAATCCTAAGAGAATGTCACCCCTTTGATGGGGTGGGAGAGGGCTAGTTGCAGGTGACTGTGGAGAATCAGAGGCTTTGGGTCCATTTTTTTTTTTATCTCAGTCTTTACGCAAAAGTCAGGAAAAGGTTACCTGTGGAGTGGACAGGTAGGAAACCAGACCTGAAAGGAGTTCAGGAGACAGAAGGTGAACGTCTTAAAATGCTGACAGCCCCAACATGGGACACTTCAGGACTGGCTTCTGAGAGAGGCACTAACCTTCTCTTCTCGTTCCGGCGTCGTGAAGGCAGACAAGGGATAAGTGTGGAGCCTGCCTAATTTGTATATTTAAAGAGAAAAAGTGTTCTGTTAATTAATGATAGTTAATTACACTTAAGTTCATACCTAGTAAAGCTGTGGACTAAAATCATCCATCAATTAGTTTGTCACTGCTCACTGGAAATTATGATGACTTTGTAAAGAGCTAATTATGCCAGATCAATTAGAGAGCCTCTTGTGATAGAGTGGAAAGGTTTAGACACAGCTGTCAAGGAGGGGAGTTACCTGTCGTGCAGGTGGGCCTCGTGGGCTCGCTTTGTTCTCTCCGCTTGTTAGCGTCCCCGGGCCATCTAGTAGGAGGATGTAGCAGGTTAGGGAAGATCCAGCCTGAGAGTGATGGTGGGTGGCCTCTGGACCTGCTTGCTCAGAGTGAGAGGCCCCCTTGTGTCAGTGACCTCGGAGAGTGCTGGCAAGCATCCTTGCCGAGGCAGCCTCAGGTGTCTCGATGTAAGCTCTGGCATCGCTGCCCGTGTGCGGATCTCAGCTGGGTGACTCTGGGCAAGTTGCTCTACCCGGTGTGCCTCAGTTTTCCTCATCTGTAAAATGGGGCTACTGGGAGCTCTACCCCGTGGAACTGTTGTGAGGACCGAGGGAGCTAGTTTTTATAAAGGCGGCAAGCGCAATGCCTGGAGCGGAGCACACATTCAATAAAAATGTGATGATAATGTTCCCATCCTCATGGTTATGTGCGCCAAAGGACAGAGCTCCTCCAACTGGTGGTAAAGGTTGAGAAGTCAAATCTTTCTGCAGAACTAGAGAAATGAAGTTGAAAATGGAAAAGGATAAAGTAATTTCTTTGGAGTCCAGAGTACTGAGAAACCAGCGGAAGAGAGCTGGACCAGGAGCTCATGAGGAATGAGCCGGAAGGAGAATCAGGGATCACTGAAGATCATAACATGAACACAACAGACGACAGACAATAGACGTGGTCCCAGTGGCGTGAGACACGCTCCAAGACGTCTCGAGGCAGGCCGGCCTTCAGGGAGACCCCTGGGTTAGATCAGCCCCCACGCTCTGTTCAGACCAGCGCCACACGCCCTCGTGAAGACGCTGTGGGCCGGGCCCTTCAGCCAGGGTAGCGTGGTTCTGAAAGAGTCTGAGAACATTAGCCAGGGGCCCAAAGAAGAGCAGCCGAAAGGACTGCAAGGAGGGAAATCCTTCTTATGAGAAAAAGAGGCTCCAGAAACTAGAGCGCTCGCCTTGTGTGAAGAGCAGAAAGCTAGCCCGTGATTGCCCACCTTCAAGTAGGCAGATCTGAAGACCGATGAGGGGTGCGCCACGAAGGAGGCTGAGCATTGACGGCAGCTGCCTCCTCCTTTCTCCCCCACACCCCCACCAGCCCGGCTTTCAGCCCCCTACCCTCCATCACCAGGAGTGTGTCAGGAAGGCTGGGAAGACTTTTCTTGGAGACTCGGAGGGCTCCACCTTGGCTCTGGCAGGCTTCCTCAGAGAGCAGTGTGAAAGAGCCAGCACTGAGCTGGGGGGCAAGAGAAGCCAGTTCAAGTCTCGGCTCAGCTACGAACTTTCTGTGTGACCTGGAGCAAGTCACCTCACTTCTCTGAGTCTCCTTTTCAAGGCTGAATATTTTGTGATTCTAAGTCACAGTCATCTCAAAAATTCTCAAAGCTTCCTCACTGCCTACTGGATTAAGAGTTAGGCCCTCAGCCCAACATCAAAGACCCTCTACAAACTGGTTCCAAACCCCCAATCCAGTCCTCCAGTCCCGTCCCATTACCCCAGCTTCCCCACCGTGTCTTCCTCTGGTGCCTTTGTCTAGAACATACATCCATCATCTTTTAATAAGCACCTACTATAATACTATGTACCAATTCTATAACAAGGCCTGAGGATACATAGGGCCCCCTGATGTCCTCCATGGCATCTTTGTGCAAGATAGAAAAAAACCTGGATACAGCCCTGTCCGAGAGTGCACTGTTGGCTAATGGTCTTCATCCCCTACTCACTTCCTCAAGCAGACATCCTGGTGCAGTGCATAACCTGTACATCTGTACACTGCAGCCTTGGGGATGCAAAATTAAATAAGACAAAGACTCTCAGGGCGCCTGAGTGGCTCAGTCAGTTAAGCATCTGCCTTCAGCTCAGGTCATGCATGATATCACGATCCTGGGATCAAGCCCCACATCAGGCTTCCTGCTCAGTGGGGAATCTGCTTCTCCCTCTCCCTCTGCACCTCCCCCCCCCCCGGCTTATGCACTCTTGCACGCTCTCTCTTTCTCTCTCTCACAAATAAATAAAATCTTAAAAAAAAAAAACACAGACTCTCTTAGGGAGTCTAATAAAAAGAGACATAAGTTAACACAGAGTACAGTGTGTTAAGAACTAAGATTGGTAGCACAAAAGATGGGCACATACCCCAGTCTGAGGACTCAGGAAAGGTTTTTCAGAAGAGGTCACCCTTGAGCTGAATTTGAAGGATAAGTAGGAATAATCTAGAGAAAGAAAACTGGATTCAAATGGTGAATGTTATGTTATATATATTTTACCACAGGGTTGGTTTGTGTTTTTTTTTAAACTTTTTTTTAAGAAAGTGGGAAGAGGGTCCCAGGCAAAGGGAACAGAATGCACAGACGTATGTGCACGTGGGGAGAGGTAGGAGGTGAACCTAGGTAGTTGGGCAGGGCCGTATTATAAAGTTCCGCTCTATGTGCTACGTTCAGGGATTTGGACTTCATCCTGAAGGCTGCATGGAGCTGTTAAAGGAGCAACTTCCAGGGGCGCCTGGGCGTCTCAGGCAGTTAAGCATCCGACTTGTGATTTCGGCTCAGGTCATGATCTCAAGGTGGTGAGATCGAGCCCCGAGTCAGGCTCTGAGCCGGGCGTGGAGTCTGCTTGGGATTCTCCTTCCTTCGCCGCCCCCCCCACCCCAACTACAGCAGCTTTCCCCTGCCAGCCATGTAAAGGATGACTTGAGGGGCCACTCGGAAAGCAGCAAGAACAGTGAGGGTGCTTTTGATAACCCGGATGAGGTGCAGGGACATCCTGCACGCAGGCAGCAGTTGTGGGCATGTGCAGAAGGGGCCAGGTGGGAGAAATATTAGGCGGGAAACCGCCACAGGACCTCAACATTCACTGCATGCAGGGCGTGGAGTACAGGAGAAGACCAGGATGCTGCTGACTTCCCAGGCCCGGACAACAGGGTGACTGGTCCTGCTGCTTTCTCAAGAGGAGGATAGGAAGGGCTGCAGTTAGGGTGGGAAGGGGAGGATGGATTAAACTGGGAAGTCTGTGCAGTATGAAGTGCAGACACCTCGGAGATAGTGCAGGTTCTGGTCCAGACCACCGCAATAAAGCGAATAGCGTGATAAAGCGAAATGCGCGATAAAGCGAATAGCGCGATAAAGCAAGTCGCATGAATTTTGGTGTTTCCCGATGTATATAAAAGTTATGTATACACTAGACTGTAGTCTATTAAGTGTGCAACAGCATTATGTCTTTAAAAAACAGTGTATACATCTTAATTTAAAAATACTTTATTGCTATGAAAAGAGCTCACCATCATCTGAGCTTTCGGGAGTCGTCATCTTTTTGCTGGTGGAGGGTCTTGCCTCGATGTGGATGGCTGCTGACTGATCGGGGTGGCGGTGGCTAGAGGCTGGGGTGGCTGTGGCAAGTTCTTAAAGTAAGACAACGGTGAAATTTGTCACATTGGTTGACTCTTCCTTTCAAGAAGGATTTCTCTGTAGCATGTGATGCTCTTCGATAGCGTTTTACCCACAATAGAACTCCTTTCAACATTGGAGTCCATCCTCTCAAACCCTGCCACTGCTTTATCCACCAGATTTCTGCCATATGCTCAACCCTTTGCTGTCATTCCCACAGTCTTCTCAGCATCTTCTCCAGGAGAGAGTCCATCTCAGGAAACCACTTTCTTTGCTCTTCCAGCAGGAGCGACTCCTCCTCTGTTTAAGTTCTATCATGAGCCAGTAACAGTTCAGCCACGTCTTCGGGCTCCACTTCTCACCCTAGTTCTCTGGCTGTTCCACCCTCCTGCAGTTCCTTCCTCCGCTGAAGCCTCGAACCCCTCTTCATGGCATCTAGACTGGTGAATTCTTCCCAGAAGGTTTTCTGTTCCCTTTGCCCAGACCCCTCAGGGGAATCACAGTCTGTGGCAGCTATAGCCTTATGAAACGTATTTCTTTAATAGTAAGACTTG